TCTGCTCTCCGTATCAAAGTCGCTCGCGATTCGCGAACGCGACGTCTTGTAAGAATTCTGTTCCAAATGAAAAAAAGGAATTACCGAGATCGAATGCGTAAAAAGCTCCGATAGCAGAGACAAAGGCTGACGAGCCAGGCGCAGGGCGCGCAAAAAAAGTCGTTTGAAATCGCGCGCGCACCTCATAACGGGGTCACCAGTTTGGGTGGAAAATTTCTCTCTTCTTCGCTCGATGACCTCCAGATTACGCGCGGCTTTCTTTCGTTTATTATCATGTGCGCGCGCAGTACTTATATGCAATTTAGAGGAGAGCATCTTCGCAGCGGACGGCACTCGCGAAATATAATAATAGTAAAATTTTTGCTCGACGACCTGTAGGATCGTATGATGCAAATCTCGACAAACGATATTATACGTGTGTGTAGGTACTAATGCGACTGCCGAAGCACATTGCGGAGAAAGTCTCGCGCGGCGAGAGATTATATTTGACTTTACGGGAGGAGGATGTACTTTAACGGACTTTCTTTGACATGTGTACGTTCACTCGCTCGCTCGCTGAATTACAGCTATATATATATATGCAGGCGCGAGACTGCAGTGTGCGATACGCGAGCTTACGCGCATTACGATCGATAGGCGCGCGAGAGAATATGTGTCCCTTTTTTTTTTCTTCAACGTTAATTACGATCTGGTAAGACGACGCTGAAGTATACGATAAGCTCGAGAGAGAGAGAAGACAATGTGTAGAGATAGACGAGGCTGCACATATTGTAAACTTTATACACACGCGCATACGTAGTGTAAAGGGATATATATAGAGATTTCGCACAGCTTTAATTGAACTGACGAAAAATACTGTTATGATACACTTTCGAATAATGGGCTGGTGTACGTACCACACGTGAGAATATACACACTCGACACGCTCGACTGAGAGCTAGAGACGAATTAAAAAAGATAGAGACTGACGATATTATAGTTATACAGTAGCGAATCAAGCTCGCGGGAGCGAACGGAAAGAGACATGAGTGTGCACGTGGAAAGATAACGAGTATCATTGATTTTCCAAGATGAGAAACTGACGTGTGTGCAAAAAAAATGTTTGAAATTCTTCTTATACCTTCTCGAGAAAATAACTAAAAAAAAAAGAAGTAGAAAAAAATGATAAAGCTAACGCGTACATTAGGTGTATATTATACGCGGGCGCGCGAGCTTCTCTCGGTATCTCTCTCTCTCGGTCTACTACTACTGCTATACAGTCTGCAGCACTAGGCATAGTCTCGGCCGAGGCGGCAAGTAGGTCAGGATTGTGAATCTATACCTATATATATATAGAAAATGTACTACTACTACAACTGCTGCCTACTGCTTACTGCTATCTGCGCTTCACGCGCGCGGATATATACTTGAGCAACGCGAAAGACGATACTATCTTCTCGCGCGGGCAAAGTCTTCCAGTTCGTCGTTTCTTCTTTTTTTTTTTTTTTATTCTCTATCCTCCTTTTTCTTGCTGTGTTTTTGCCGCCGCGTGGCTCCTCCTTGGCCGTGTGTGTGTGTGTGTGTGTGTGTGTGTTTTGTTGCACTCGCGTCGAGCAAGTGAAAGCTCGACGCGATGTATCGCACCGCGCGTGGAGCGCCATAAAAAGGGCTTTTTGCGCGCGGTAATCGATGCGTACGCATCTCGTATGCGAATGAAAACGATTCGAAATCTTTATCACGTGAGTTGAAGGAAGGGGGGGGATTGCAATGCGATCGTCGATTGTATACTCGAGTTTTTAATGCTTCGATATTCATCCATAAATAGTTTCGTGCATTCTCGAAACCGCATTGTTATCATGAGATTCAATAAAAATCTTAGCTCGATAACGTGAGAAAAGTGCTCGAGGGCTTTTGGCCTAGTATTTTATAAATAAAAAATCGTTTACCTCGTGGCTTAACGATTTTTAATCCTTAGGATGTTCGACCTCCACTCGTGCTCGATCGTGCTTAAAAATACAATACGTTTCACACGCGGTCGTCTATTACATTAAATGCAAATTCATCGGAGTAATACAATGCGCGACATTTTATAGATGTAATAATATAAATGCGTAGATACCCCCGTGCGTAATATGCGACATCCTTCGGCGCGCTGCAACTCAAGAAAAGTATAATAATGAAGAATTATAATTTCAAATGGGAATCGCGGTCATTGTATGTTTATAATGTTGGCGGCCCATTAGTACGAGTTTTTCCCAATACGGCGTTTCCCAGAAAGAAAGTCGAACTGCATTAGGTACGCTTGGGTATCGTGCTTGCTCCAGTGCGTACACGTATGCAAATAACCAACGCAGATCCATTGTATAAATCATATCGCGAGAGGCTGCCGTGTTGTTGCTGTTCGCGCATGGTGCATGTTGTATGCATACGCGCGCTAATGTTATTTGCGTTTCATGATTTTTTTGTCGAACTACCGACAAATTACACATCGCTCGTCTATATGGTACTTGTAGACGTTTGATCGAGCTCTCTCGGGCCGTATGATTTACATAAGTGATCCATATTAAACCTGACATTATGGGACTTGGAAAACAATGCTTTATAATGCATCAACGCGTTAAAAATCACCGAGCTCGCAATCGTTACACACACACGTGTGTAGTATAGTACGACAGTTCGCGCGCGGGAAATTTACGCGCGCGCCGCTCTTGAAGCGCGAGAGGCGCGAGGAAAATATCTCTTACCCAATTTCGCGAGCCCAAGTGTATACATCGTGTGAATTCTCGAGTTCCGCTCCTACACGCGCACGCACACTTTATTTTTTGCGACGATCTAAACTCGAGCTCGTAGAGCGCCTGGGCTATGTTGAGGCATTTCTAATTTAACGCGTTGTGGCACGTAAGCGACCGTCTATGTGTATATAACGAACAAAACAAAAAAAGAGAAGTACAACCTCGATTTTTCGAGCCAATTAATTTTCGTGTTGCGGGCGAGAGCTCGTTATTGAAAGATCACGATGACGTACGATTACGAAATGTGTCTAATGTGTGTGTGTGTGTGTCTATATATAATCATTTGACAATTTTTTTTCTCATTTTCACATTCGCAGGTGACGGAGTACCCGGCACGATAGTCGTGCGCGTCGGCAACAATCGGCCGGATCTCGGCACGAATCCGGTCTGCAACAGGTTCACGGGGCCCCTCGAGGAAGGATCTCCGCTGTTCTTGCCCTGCAATCCGCCGATGCCCGGCGCCTTTGTCTCGGTGCATCTCGAGTCGACCAAGCCCAAGCAGCCCGTGCAGCTGTCGCTGTGCGAGGCCTTCGTCTATACCGATCAGGTGAGGGGGCGGGCTTACGTAATAACTTGTGCACGATAAAAATTTTATCTCGAAAAAAAAAAGTAAATTCACGAAAACACAATCATCGCTTAACACGATGATGCGGCGAATTAACTATCCGCGCTCGATTACACGTCCGCCGAAAGAAAGTTCTACATACATACATACGTACATACATACACGCGAAACAATAATACCGGAAATCACGTCTCTGGATGCTGCTCATCGTACAATATAATAAATCCTTTTTGGCGATGGCTCGAGTGAAAGTTTCTCGAGGAGCGCGCACACAAGTGCACAAGTGCGCGCTCGCTTGTGAATTACAATGCTAACCGATATTTCTTTTCACAACGCCAGGCACTGCCGATCGAGCGCTGTCCGCAATTCCGCGACCAGCCGCCGGGCTCGACGGCCACCTACAACGGCAAGTGCTACATCTTCTACAATCGTCAGCCGAGGAATTTCCGCGACGCCCTGGACTTCTGTCGCGATCGAGGCGGCAGCCTGGTGGACGAGAGCAATCCGGCCCTGCAAGGATTCATCTCGTGGGAATTGTGGAGGAGGCACAGGTGAGTTTGCGTTTCGCATTTTCTCTCTCCGCTCGACTCGAGCGCAAGCGCGCGATTAGAAAATAGCATTTTTGAGATAAGTCACGTACTCGGACTCGGGGATAAGCCGGACGCGGCGCGGCCGGCACGCACGTAATATCATATGCATATACGAACTTTCACTCGCGCGCGCGCGCGCGCGCGGAAATGCAAAAATAAAATACGCACGCCGAATAGCCGCTAATGCGTCTCTCAACGTTTCTTTACTCTCTTTCTTTGCAGAAGCGACACGTCGAGCCAGTACTGGATGGGAGCGGTGCGCGACCCCAAGGATCGCTCCGTCTGGCGCTGGACCGGAAGCGGCGACGAGATCTCCGTGTCGTTCTGGAGCATACCCCAGGGCACGGAGCAGGACTGCGCGAGGTACGACGGTAGCCGAGGATGGCTGTGGTCCGACACGCCCTGCAACGCCAGGCTCAATTACATCTGTCAGCACCGTAAGTAGAGTATTATAGTTATTGGTACACCTCGATTGTAAACGCGCGCTCGTTTAATATTCGTTTTAATAATATTTTCACTTTTCACTTTGCGTTGATTATTATTAAATTTAATCTTTACAGCGCACTGTGGAAAGTGCGTGTTTGTACATGAATATATATATGTATATCGCGTTCAACGCATCGGCACTTTCTCTCTCTCTCTCTCCCTTTATACATCAACGAGTGCATAAATTGTCCGAACGTGAGAATCAACCGTGAATTTTATTTCGCGCAGAACCTCGTGCCTGTGGCCGGCCCGAACAGCCACCCAACTCCACCATGACCGTCGTCGGTCCCAACGGCGGCAACAAATCCCTCCTGGACTCCAGCAGACACTACCAGGTCGGCACCAACGTCGAGTACAGCTGCGACACGGGCAGTCTGCTGATCGGCCCGTCGACACGTACCTGCCTCGATACCGGTTTTTACAACGAATTCCCGCCGGTCTGCAAGAGTAAGTATACATACACCTAATTGACGATGCATCAACGAATCACCGCTACTATTTATCGTTCGTGTCCAGGCATCGAGTGCGGCTACCCGGCGAACATCAAGCACGGCGGCTACACCCTCATCAACGACACCGTCACGTATCTCAGCCAAGTGCTGTACAGCTGCGAGGAGGGCTTCGAGATGACCGGTAAGTGTCTATTCGTACCGTATCTATATGCGTACCGATCTTTCGGTATACTAATTTCATCGTCCATCATTACCAGGACGCGCTCGTCTCACGTGCGACATCGACGAGCGCTGGAACGGACCGCCGCCGCGTTGCGAGCCGATCCGCTGCGACGCGCCGGCCGTCGTGCCCCACGCCTCCGTGGCCATCGAGGAGATCGACATCGAGGACATCGGCAGCGGCGGTAAATCCAGCAGCGCCTCGCTACTGTCCCAGGGCCAGGCTGGAAAGAGCCTGTTCGTCGGCAGCATCGTCACCTACACCTGCGACAAGGGCTACAAGCTCATCGGCAATCGGCAGCTGCTGTGCCTGACCAGCGGCTCCTACGATCGCGCCGCGCCCAGCTGCATAGGTGAGTAGTCGCTGTTGTTGTTGTTGTTGTTGGTCGAGAGAGCCGAGCGAAGAATTAGAGAGATTCGCGAAGAAAGAGATGATGCCTCTTTCTGGTCACGATCGCGCGAGCTTTCACTTTCGTGCATCGCGATAAAGAGCAACGCCGACGACGACCATCATCGTGCATGTATAATAAATACATACAATGCCGCGCGCGCGCGATGCGATGGATTACGATGATTTCGTACATATATACGCTTCGTGCATCATAACCGCGCGGAGAGTTCATTGTCTTCTTCTTTCTTTCCGTCCGAGCAGAGGATTCGCAGCGCGAGCCGAGTCCGACGCCGAGCTCGCCCGCGACGACCAAGCCGTCGAGCTCGAAGCCGAGCGCGACCCGAGGCCGTCCCTTCCTGCCCACGAGGACGCGATCGACCACGACCACGCAGACACCGACCAGTCCGAGCAGCAGCAGCAGCACGTCGAGATCGACCACCTCGACGGCGACGACGACGACGAACCAGCCACCGATCCAGCGGGTGTATCACACGACGACGAGAACGAGGCCGCAGCTGCCCACGACCCCGTCCTTGGTCGGCTCCGAGCTGCCCGCCAGCGTGAAGGAGACCGAGCAGAAGAGGCCGAGCATCGGATTGCAGAGGCCCGTGGAGACCAAGAGGCCGCCGGTGCACGAGAGCGCCGATCATCCACAGGTGAGTGTCGTTCTTTTTTTTTTTTTTTGTTACATCATTGATAACGATTTTTTGATCCGGAAGTGAAACTTCTTTACGAGGGAGTTGGCGATACGATGGTGTAGGCTTTTTTCTATAATTCCGATCGGATGGTTTGATTATATTATAAGTTTCACCTACACCCCAAAAAATTGAGACCCGAGAGCTTTCCCGGAAACCGATGCTCTATGAGGATGCACATATCGTGATTTATATAGAGATGATAAAAAATATCTGGACGAAGCTACAAGAAGTTGAACAGGAGTGGAGGCGTAACAGTAATAACAACAGCACATATTTCACTGGACTTGAGCATTTTTGGCTGTATAATCGGATATATAAGAAATAAAAATCGTTCGATCGTCAAAAATTTAGTTTTGAAATAAATTCGTTCGTTCCCGAATGTTGGAAGAATGAGTTTCTATCAGCGTTGAGGCGCGGAAAATTGAATGATATATTTTTCGGATAATTTTTAACTTCAAAGCCTATCGACTCTATGGATCAATGTAAATGGACCTTATTTCTTCGCAATAATTCAGTCAATAACAATAGAGTGTTGCCAGATAGAAAAACATTAAATTAGATAATTAATTGTTTACAATTAGAATCTGAATTTCCGTATGTCGCTTACACGTTTCCCGTGTAAGTAGACAAAGGTACAAGATCGGTGCTCTCTCGTTCGTAACGAGCTCGTACTCGGTAGTACACGTTCTCGCTCGCCAGCGTCAACAATACCGCCCAAGTCCAAGTCGGTCGCGTCGCGTCGAGCGAAAAAAAAAAAAAAAAAATTATANAAAAAAAAAAAAAAAAAATTGATAATTCGCCGCAAAGAAATAAATGATCAAGGAGTCGTGTATTCCGTACGCGCGAGTGTCTCCCTCCCCAAAAAAGAACGCGGTAAGATGTTGAGGCGCAGATACCTCAAGGAGCACACGAAAACGCTTAAACTGCTGAATACCATGCGAGACAATCTGAACTGGCAGGACGCGAAAGAAAAGCGAAAATTGCTCGGCACGCTCTGTCCCTACTTCGGCCATTGGACCCTTCCGCCCATCTCGGAGATCTTCAATCTCGCGCAGATCGAGCAGCTGATCGTCACCTCGTTGACCTACTACCAGCGCGACAGATTCGTCGACTTTCTGATCGAGAGCGGCTACAGGGACAGCGGCAAGGGCAAAAAATCCCGCGTCACGCCGCTACTGTACGCGGCCAAGGACTGGCACCCGCGCAACGGCTTCTGGAACTACGAGCGGCGCGTGCTGGCCCAGAAGCTCTTCAAGATCTACGACAGGTGGGAGGTGAACTACAGGGACTCGGAGACCGGCCTCAGCCACTTTCACGTGGCCTGCATGACGGGCTGCCACGAGGCCGTGGCCAAGTTCCTCGAGCGCGGCGCCGTCGGCGATCTCAACTGGCTGCAGAGCCTGCCGAAGACCGGCGACACGCCGCTGCACCTCGCCGTCAAGGCGCAGAGCCGAGAGGCGACCAGGCTGCTGCTGAAACACGGAGCCAATCCGAACGCCCGGAACCACGAGGGCCTGACGCCGCTGCTCATTGCGAGCCGGAATTCCTTGGGTACCGACGCGCTGGCGATGATCCTGGACACGGTCGAGTTCGGACCGTTGACTCCCGCGCGCAGGCAGCTGCAGGTCGACGCGCCGGACGAGGAGGGCAACACGGCGCTTCATCACGCCCTGGCCAACGGCGTCTGGCGGATGGCCGAGCTGCTGCTGCTGTGCGGCGCCCATCCGGACGTCGCCAACCACGAGGGTACGACCCCTCTGCACATCCTGAGTCGCAATTGCTTGGGCGCGAGTCTGGCGCGATTCTTCGAACTGTGCGACTCCCGGAGCCAGAGGCTGCGCTTGGACGCGCGCGACAGGGCGGGCAACACCGCCCTGCACTTGGCCGTACTGCAGGATCACAGGCCCACGATCGAGCTGCTGCTGGCCAGGGGAGCCGATCCGAACGCGGCCAACGAGGCCGGCTCGACGCCCATGCACCTGATCTGCGCTAATCCCTGCGGCGAGCAGCTGGCCGGCTTCTTCCTCGAGCTGTGCGGCAAGCTCGACAAGTCGGTGTTTGTAAACAAGAGGGACGGCGACGGCATGACGCCGCTGCAGCTCGCGGTGAAGAACATCCAGCCGGGCCTGTGCTACCTGCTGCTCGAGTCCCTGGCCGACCATCATCTCGTCGACTTTCGTTACCCGAGCGAGTATCGCGACATCGGGCCCTGCTTCGTCGGCACGAGACTGAAGGCCGCGGCCGATCTCATGTGGATCAAGCGGATGCTGGAGATCCGAAAGCGCCCGCCGGCCTACCAAGACGCCCGGGCCATGCTCGACTTCCTCCACCGGAGCGGAGCGTTCGAGAACCGCGGCTACGAGCGCGAGATCCGCGAGTTGCGCTCGCTGCCGGAGCTCGATCCGTTCGTCGCGTGGGCCCAAGAGACCGAGCTGATCCAGGGACTGACGCTCTGGGAGGCGATTCGGCTGGAGCCGGGACGGCCCGGCAAGCGGAAGAGGCTCGAGTACTGGGACTACTCGAGGATCGCTCGTACCTGGAAGCTCGCGGATCTGTGGTGGGAGCAGCAGGCGGCCTGCTTCGGCCACATGCTCGAGCTGCTGCTGCGCGACTTCTGCCGCGAGTGGGCCGTGGCGTGCCTCGAGGCGCTGGCGAGGCACGGGCTGTCGCGCGACCGCTGCCGGATGATAATCAACGACGAGTTCGCCAACCTAAATCTGTACAATATATGCATGGCTTGGGACCTGATGCCGTTGAAGTGATGCGCGAAGAAAAATTTTATATTTTCGATGGGCTGGAGTAAATCGCACGAATGTATCTTATATAATTAATTATATATGTTTAATTGAATTTTAATCTTTTATATAATTGGATTTATATAATGGAATGGTGATCTTTTTATGGATGAAATAAAAAGATTTTTTTGTTTTAATTTTACCCAAATTTTATTGAGAAAAAAGTCGTAAAGAAGTTTTTTACATCTCGCAGCTGTTCTACTTGAAAATGTCCAATAATTGAAATTTTTATACGGCCACAAAAATTTGAAGAGTACCTTCAGAGCTTTTTCAATTCACAAGGATTTTCATTTCACATCAAAGATCAATTCAAATTTCACGGTTTTTCAGGTCTCGGACGGTAAAAGTCGAGGCAGGAGCATCGTTTCGATGTATTTTATTTAACTCGATTATGCAAATTGAATGAATTTTAAAATTCGCCAAGTATCGGTACAGTCACCCTATATTTATAAAAAATGTTCAAACAAAGTAGTTTTGAGTAGTTTTTTTTTTCTCTCCTTCGATCTATATTTCAAACCCAAGAGAGTAGAAACTTAGCAAGAGTGGCCCATTGTTTCGGGAAATTATGATTATACTACAGACGCACCCGAGCGAGCTCGCACGCGCGAAAAGTCAAAACAAATTAACCTTTTATCTCCCTGGGAGAATCGCTATATATACGCAGCGAGCGTAATCCCGTTGCAATTAAGGATAGAGCAGCGGCGGCGCATTATGCTACATTTTTCCATATAAAGTAAAGCCCCACGCGCGCGAGCTACTCCTCCACATCCTCTTGACCTTCATAATATAATATAATATACAAGCCGCGACGATCCATCGTGTATATAACGAGGTGTGACAGAAAAATTCATCCTTTAATTATTTTTTTTTTCTCTTACCTATCGCAGGACAATGAAATATCCGGAAGCGGAGTGGATAACGCCCACGCGGAGATCGGCGCCGGCGTGCCCGAGCCCAACGGACCCTATCGCATCAATCGGGCCGATCAGCCCACGTCTCATCAGGCCAAGTTGAACATGACGATGATCATCGGCGTGGCGATCTTCGGCGCCGTCGTCTTCCTCGCCGTCATCATCACGACCACCATCTTGGTCATGAAAAAGTAAGTCGCAGATGTAACTCTATAAATTAATTATCATTTATCCTCTCGTGTACAATATATAAAATCCGATTGTTTGATCCATTACGTAGATTTATACAATTATTCTTAATATCGTCTCTTGCCGCGGGTTTGTAACATATGTAACTGCTTTGTGTCCATATTATATCCCCCCGACTCATCATAAACAATAAATGTCAATAATAATTTTGCGCATCAGCTTTTAATGTATCTTGATTAATAACTGTACGTTTAACAAAATAAGTATCGTTTATCGAAAATTTTTGACTCTTGCCAATAATTGTACAGAATTTTTGATTTTCTTTTATACTTTTTTTTTTTTTTTTTTTTTTTATAATAATCGGTCGGGGGTGCACGTGAAAATTGCATGATAATTATATTTAATAGCCCGTTAAGAACGAAAAGCAGAAACTAATGATAAACTCTTTTTCTCTCTTTCTCTATCTCTACTTGCCCAACCCTCGCTTCCTCTCAAAACGTCATCCATCTCCTCTCACACGTATCACACACACACACGAAAAAATGTGTCCATTATACGTGGGGATGATCGTCCGGTCGTCCGTCGCAGCAGTAATCCATACGGCCGTGGCAGCCGATTCCGCGGCGGCCGCAACGCATTTAACGTCGTTGGAGGCGTTTGCAGAGGTGGCGGCGGCGGCTCCTTTGCCAGTGTTGGGGGTGGCGCAAGTGGTGGTGTTTTGAACTCGAACTCGGCGGCCGCCGCCGCCGCGGCCATGGCGGCTTCTCGCCACTGCGCCAATGGCGGCGGCGGCGGCGGCGAGGCTGTGCCGTCGCGCTGGTACACATTGCTCGCGCTGCCCTTCCCCGACCAGCACCTGGGCCGTCGCGATCTGACCTCGGCGCGCCGACCCAACGATCATCCCTACTCGTTCGGACTGACCGCAGCCCAGCGTGCTGGATACTTTTCCAATCCTTCGCTATGACATTTGCATTACTGAGACGCACGCGGCAACATCGAGCTTATTATTTAACCATTGCCATTATTTTCTTTAGACTTTTTTGAGTTTTTTTTTTACTCTCGTGAGCGTGGGTCTCTTTTGTACAATTTTTATTATTACTACAATTGCCTTTGCCGATCATGTGTTCCATATACAGTAACGTTAGAGAAATCGTGTATGCAGGCGTTTTCTCGCTTGTTTTGTCTCTCTTTTTGCTGTGTCATAAATAAGCACACGAACGAGTCAGAGTTTACTACAATAGTTACCTGTCCTTAGATTATTTTATACTTTAACTTGTACATATAGCCATTTTGAGATCATCATTTTTTTTTTACAATTTTTAAATGCATATCAGAAGGATCGGAAAATCTCGTGATTTTATTGCACGATAACAATCGATACCACGAAAAATTCACGTGCCATGGATTTTCTCGCTTATGCAATTTTTATTGTTCCTATATATACGATGAGAATTCATTTGATTTATTTATTTATTTATCGACAAAGAAAAAAAAACTAAAAATAATTTTTGATGCCAGTAAATTTGTAAATACAACAACTGTAGAATATAGATCAATGTCTCACGAATAACGCATCGCTACAGTGCACGTGCGAGATTGGGGCTTTTTATATCTGTAAAATAATATACAATTTTTAATGATAAAAATACCATAATAGCATATCTCTGAAATAAATATTAACTCGTTTTGTTTAGGGAATATTGAAAAGTGTAGAAGCGAAAGAGAGACAAAAAGGGGAGATAAAAAAAAGTCGAGAGAGAAACGAATATTTATTAAGGGAGAGAGACACGTACCGATAAAAGACGCAACAGTTTATAATTCATTGGACTGACTCTCCACCCACTCTACTCCATACTACTCTACTCTCTGCTCTAAAAAAAACAACAAACGAATTAAAATAAAGACAGATAAAAAAAACAAAATAAGTAAAATACCACAACGCGCCACCCTCGCGCGGCCGCAATGCAAATAGAAAAAAACGCAAACAAACAAAAAACTAGTCAAGGTAACGTCCGCTTTTTTTTCAAAAAAAAAAAAAAAAAAAAACACGGAGAGGAATTTTATAAAAATTAATAACTGCACCAGTACAAAATAAATTTGATGGAAAAGGCCTCGTTTGTTCAGGCATTCTCTCGCACATAAAATAATAATGATTATAACAATTGTAATGATAATAACGAATTTTTGCACACGATTAGAGTTGTTTTGCACGCATACATAGTAATTTTCTTGAGTATTTGGCTCGACGTGAGGGTGGATTATAAGTAGAATTGCTTCGTATCTTTGCACAAGTTATAAAAAAAAAACAAACAACAAAAATCTTAATGCGACAATGTCAAGTACACACTGAATTATACCGCACACACGCAATGAGAAAAAGTAAAAAAAATTCACGCCTTATCTCTCAGAGTCTCTCTCCTTCTCTCTCTCTAAAAAGCTCTCGACGTTATAAACACACACACACACACACACACACACACAAATTTTCCGTCATTTCGTTAATGGATTTTTCGCGTCGTGGGACAATTTCGGTCGCGGTTTTCATCATCATTCGACATTCAACTACATTATATGCTTATATGCCTACGAGCGCGCGTGAACTACTTTGCTGCGGTTTTTTCACTGATTGCCTCCCGCGAGAATATAATTCAAAAATTATTATTGTACATAATAACGCGCGCGATCCACATGCGTTAACATGTGTCCATATTTGAACTTTGCAATTCCGAAAAGGCAAATTGCCTTGGCACGAGAGAGAGAGAGAGCAAGAAAGAGAAACACACAGAGAGAAAGAAATGTTTGATGCTTGTGAGTGGTACAGGTGTACTTTCACAGCTATACAAGCACTGGGGTATTATAAATCATAGCAATGCACTTTCGATTATGCTTAGATACCGATTTTTTGTTGTTGTGAAAAACTGAAAGTAATTACCGCACCGAATCTGCCTAAATTTTACAATTATTCGATCAAATATTAAAAAAAAATCGTTTCTTCCTCGACAGATACTGCTTCAACAGCAGCAAGCACTACCGTCATCGAGCCTCGCCCGACTGCAACACCGTGGCGAGCTTCGACAGCGGCTCCTCGGGCAGCCGGGGCGGCCTCAATCGCTACTATCGCCAGGCCTGGGAGAACCTGCACGAGTCCACCGGTCAGAAGATGCCGGTGGGCGGCGGCGGCGGTTCGGTCCTCGTCGGGCCGCCCATGAGCAGTCGCAGACGCGAGACCCTCGACGAGCCCGGCTATCGGGACGGCTCGGGGGGCCACAACAATTATCGCCACCACGGCCAGCACAACAACAGCAGCAGCGTCGAGCGCGACGGCAGCGAGCTCGTGGTCAACGACGCCTACGCCAGCAAGAACGTCAGCGGGGACAAGAAGAGGCACCATCATCATCATCATCATCACTATCCGATCAATCGCGATCATCAGGCGCACTTCTGATGATGACGATTATAAAAGCGAGGCGAAAAACCGTTTGTTCTTCTCTGTTTGTTAGATATTTATATACCAGAGTTAGGTAGCCGTGTTTAGGAGTTATTAACGAATCGCAAGAAAATGAACAAAAAAAAAAAAAGAAAAACAAAATGATTAAATCTTTCTCACAGCTCTTGGAAAGACATGTAAATACTTTGATGAAAAAAATTCTTTAGGTTTTTTATTATTATTATCCTTTTGCGTAAGGAATCAAACCGCGTATTATCTTACATCGTAATTTTAGGAGTTAACGTTTACAATTACTTTCTCTGAATATATTAAATATATTTTTTATTGTTATGCTCGTGTGTGCGTTTTTACAGAAAAGAAAGAAAAAGATATCTATATATTTATTATACATAATGTATACACGCTGGACGCGACTGGTCGATCGACATGCCAAAAAAAAAGAAGCACAGAGTAAATATTGTATATTCGAAATGAATATTATTATTTATTTAATACGCGGTCGAATTATCATTTCTCTCTTGTTGCGCGCGCGGACAGCGATCGAAAACGGAAATGCATGTTATCTTTTGTATAAATATTATTATTACTGTACCTTCACCTGTAAATCTTCTTTCATGACCGATTTTAATGATTAATTATTATATTTACCAATAGATTGTTAGTGCTTCGATACTGTGCGTAGCGCATCGCCGTTGAACGATATTTTTCGAGAATTTAAGCGAGAAAGAGTCCGGTGCAGAAGCATAGAGAGAGGCGTTGTATTAATCTATATCGATAGAGAACTTGATCGATTGTGAGATTGTGCTAATGACGCGTTACATTTTCACAGATTATTTATTATATATAAAAAAGAAAAAAATTTTAATCTAGTGGACACCTTGGCCTCCCCTTAATAGAGTACAAAAATCTTTGTAGAATTTTTTTTCAATATTATTACTTTTAAAAAGGCAATTGTTATCATCTCTCAAGGAGAGGCCGACGTTTATCCAGTTCAACGACGAAATCTAGCGAATTAATGAAGTCTCGGATTAGAGAGCGATCAAAAACCATGTCATCGTTGATATTTTTCTCGAAAAAATAACTCAAATGATGATTGATCGGTGTTGTATTCAATTCAAAATTGTCAGATATTATGAAAAAATTCAATGGATTATGATTTTTGTAATTATAGCTTAACATCTTGATTGTATAGAAATTCATTTAAGTTGTATATGGTAGTGCCATTATGGGCAATTAAATTTACTTACATCGATGAGCAATGTATTTGCTCCTTATACATATGTGTTATTATTCATTTAGTTCTAAGGTATAGGCATATTTGTATGTAAAAAAGATATTGTACAAGCAATAAAACAATTAAATGAAATTCAACTTTGTCAATTCTTTGTATTAAAAATATATAAGCATATACAAATTTTAATAGGTATAATAACAGACATTATGAGCTAAAAAAATTAAAGCAAGATAATAATCTTTTTTTTTGGCGCCTTAGGTAATTGAAATGATTTTCATCATTTACCATGATTTTAAACTTCTACTTGGTTATATATTTTTTTAAATTGATTTTCATAAAGATAAATGAGTCATTTAGTAAAAAAATACCTTTCTAATTTCAAGATACAAAACAATTGAATCAGGACAATAACTTTATAATGATAAATCTCTTAAATATATAATAGAGAGAAATTTTCTCCGAACTCATTCATCCACTCTCTCAGTTTTACTAATTTGCTCTCAAAAATTTGCTTTTCTTTTTGTGATTTAATATTGTTATAACCACATAATTTTTTAAGCCTTTCTGAATTGGCCAAAAAACCTACTCTGTGCCTCAAGGTTTCAGAGTTCGTTCCGTTGAATATGTCAGGGTATGCTGCCAATAGTTTGTTGTGTAGCTGTACACACTTCAATGAAAAATTATTATAAAATGAAATTTTATCTATTAGTTTTAAAAATTTAACTTACATTAAGTTCTTCAAGACACACTGGATTGGCACAAATGTACCTCATCAAATACTTGTCCATTCCAGGACTCCAAACTTGGTCAAACCATCCAGAACTGAGAAAAGACTTCAGATTTTCATCTTCAATGGTATTTGAATTATCTAAAACATTAAAATGTAAAGTTTGAGTAGATTTTTAAAAGAAAAATAGGATTCATTATTAATGCACATAATTTAGCATACTGCGCGTTTGATTAAGAAAAATAACGTCATCGTCTTCAATGCTCTCTACATTTTCTATTACTTGTTTCATTGCTGGAAGAGTTAAATCAAAAAAATTATTAATTAATGAATTTTTATAAATACTATTCGTAAATTGTAACTCACTTTCTTTCGCTGAAACATCATCACCATGTTTTGAATTGGCAGCCTCTTCTTTATCTGCTATCGCACTAGTTGAAACTTATGATGAATTTGATTATTATCCCTTTATTATTCAAAAATAGTTTGTAGAGTATTGATCAATGAATTGAATTACCTGAATTACAAGAAAAAATGTTCCTTTTCAATGAAGAATCCAATTTCAAACGGGGTACTTTTCTTTTAGATGGATGAGGTGTTTCACTAATTGTAGAATTATTATTGTAAGTAGAATCATGAGATCTTGCCAAACCCAACAGGAAAATTAAAATTCATATCCATAATTGAAAATAAGAAAAAAGAACAAAAAAATTTTTTTATTAAAATTTTCACTGTTGAGATCTTATCAAAATGTTATACTCTAATACTTTTAAGCTCTACATATATTATGACTAAAATTAAAATTTTTTATCATTTACTTGACATATTTATAGAAATTGATGTATGAATTTAAACAAAATAATAGTAGGAAATATTTTGCAAACTTACATAGTTTCTTCTTCGACTATTGATTGATCATCATTAGAATAGCTACTATTATCATCATCAGAACTATTATTAGAATGGTCACTGTAATCAATTTTTCGCTTTTTTGATGAATTTGTTTTTTTATTAAGACTCTCAGCACAGCTCGTAATATTTGGACCTGAAGAAAATTCAAATTTTTAATAGTGTTAAAAAGTAAAATGAAAAATGTATAAGATATAAATTACTTGAATTAGTTGTAGAATTAATAACAGTTGAAGAGACTGCTGGTTGCTGCTGGCGTAAACAAGTCACCTGCTCAGTACTTGGTGACACATTCAATGTCAAACTTGCTGGTGAAGATAGAATCATATTTTCAGCTGATGTTGATGATTCCTCTGTATTTGTTGCTGGGTTAGCAGCTAAGCTTTCTGGCGGCAACAAATGTTTAAGTAAAGATTTGTCATCTGATTCAAATGGGTTGAATTGATATCTCTTTGAACGGCGTAGGTTTGTGGATGCCACAGTTTTGCATTGCGATGATGAATTATTAATACTGCGATTATTTTGTTTCTTTGATTTTGATGAGTTATATAATTTATTCATTTCGTGAAAATTAATTTTCACTTTTACCTCGCCAGTAGGATTGGCACATTCTCTTGTCAGGCTTGGAGGTTGATAGACCAAAGCAGGCATTTTACCTTTTCTGAAGATGTAGCAGAAATCCAGAAAGAAGAACTTCTTTAAAAATACAGGCCAGTTACAAGTCAAAGAGCTGACCAACTTTTTTGAAAAATTGCATATTTTAATCAACTGCAACGGAATTTTTGGCATCTGCTTGGTGTCTATATTTATTTTATCCAAGAATTCGTTCAGCTTTTTTTTCGTATTAGGGCTGAGTTTGAAGATGTCATCGGGAGAATAGCAGATATCGAACCACCTTTCGATCAGCCTCATATAACACGTTCTCATGAATGTAAAATGCGGCGGATATACAGTTTCTAAGTAATCCTTCGGAACTTGATCCGGATCTAAAGGAACAAGCGAACAATAAAATAATGCAAATCAGTCACAGGAAAATATCGCTCGGTACACTTACCACACTTGGACCTCATCGCTTCAACGTGCCGCAAGACGTTCGTCCAATGCGGCGCAATGACCGAGATGCGTCTCCTGCAAGTCTCGATGTCCATCTTCGCATTCAAAAACACGAAGTCGTACAGGCTTTGCTCCTGCGAGCTCGTGATCTCCAGACTGTAGGCCGGTTTCGCGTCCTCGGGACTCGGCAGCTCGATGTCGTTGTAGTTGGCGAACAGCCAGTGCAGCAGTCGCCTGTACATGTTGACATTGTGAGTGATTCCCCATCTCCAGTTCCTGGACAGCTTGCTCTCGTGAACCGCGATAATCGTCGGCGCTACGAGCTCCACTTCTTGGGTAGGATGCACCATCGTCGTGTCGCGGTGTACTGCCTTCGAAATGATGGAAACGGATCGAAATCGGCGCACTGTAAAACACAAACAATGCGCGGTAAGCTAAAACCTCCCCTCCGCAAGAGTCCACTCACCGATATACGCAACAAAGAGACCTGTCGCGCGCGCCGGGCGATAAGTCCGCAAGACTGCGAACTCCGCAAATAATCTGCGTTCGCATAAGCCGGGCGAAATAATGGAGCGTCGCCGGCCGCGCTCAGCTTCTGGAACACACGCTGGACCGAGTCAAAACATTCGCGCTCCTGTTGCGTCACCCCACCACCCTATATACGACACACGTGACACCAGCAGTGCACATGCCGCATGCCGTCACAGCGCCGGTATGCGATACGGCGCGAAATCGCTGGGCTCGAAATATGCGGAGATGATCTTTGTTTACCAATGATGACCCTTGCATTCGGTGTGTATAGTGTATACTATAGCAGTTCAACGCGAAATCTTGTGCGAACAAGGCTTGCGCGCGTAGAATCCATACTATATCTATATGTAATAGATAATTGTCGCAGGCGACAGGATTTTTTTGTCAGTTTTTCTTGGTTTTCAACTGGATACGTTTCATAACGTAAGGCAAATTTATTATTGAATAATGTCAACGTTGTCGGAATTTCTACACGAGAAGAAGAGGCTCAAGTCTATAATGTGAGTGATTATAAATAATTGTCACAAGTTCGCTTTTTAATCGACATTTACTTGTTCAGGTCGACGAGTCTCATGCCGAGCATCAAGGATTTCGCGAACCCGTGCAATCAGAATCTTGACTGCGGTGAGTGTGGAGAAAATCAAAATTTAACATTTTAATAATATATAAGTTTACAGTTCGTTCACGTGTGCGTTTTGAATTGCAGATCTGTACGCCGTGGTCGTCAAAATTTCAAAAACGAGAGTGGCCCCGGTTCCAGTGAATAATGTCAAGACGCAGTACAAAATCAATGTGGCAAAGGAGCTCTACGTTCTGGATGATTCCAATACCATGGTAATATTTTGATAATATTCAAACATTTTAAATACTCTACTTGAAAATAACGTAACACATGTTTTCAGATTAAATTTATTGTCAGAGAAAAATTAGTGGAATTATGCGACGATATAAAATTGAACGACATCATTAGTTTGAAAAAAGTTAGAGCGATGAAGCTGAGAAACAATGTGGTGCTGACAACGATGAGCGAATCATCTATAAGTTTTGTAGCGAACACACAAAGATATTATACGTAATGGACTTGCCTTATTTTTTCCATAAATAATAGAATTTTTGTTTTAATCAAATTTAAAATTTAACCATTGTTTTCTAGTTTAAAAAAATGGTTCATGGAGAAAGTATCAGATGATCAAATATTAAACATTCGGAATCTCTCAGCCATAACTAAGTCCAATGGTAAAAAAACTTCTATACTTTAATTATTTAAAGAATTAAACACTATAAGTATATAAGCTTCTATGAATTAATATTTTTTAATTGAAGCTTTAATTGATCTAATTAGTTGCACAATTAATTTTTATTATAGTTTTTCTTGTGTTCTAATTCCAGAATTTCAAGATTTATCAGTACAGAAAATATCAGACATTGCCAATATGCATCTGGGCGATAGTAATGAAAAACCAAATGATAATCATGATAGTGATGAACCTCAGAATAAAAAAAGAAAAGGTAAATTTTAGAAAATATCATATTACTTTTATTTTTATTGTTTATTAACCTACAGTAGATTCCTACCTGCCCCAAATTATAGACCTATGCGATGATGAGTCTCCAAATGCCAGTGATCCAGATGATACAAAGGAAAATCTTCCAAGTATGTAAAAAATGTTATTTCTTATTATTATGTATAATTACATAATATCTGCAATATAATCTGTATATAATCTTTCTTAATTTTAGATGTAGATGACACTGAAAGTTTGCTAAATGAAACTTTTCATACTTTCATGAACTCAGAGTCTCTTGAAATTTGGAGTGAAAAAGAGGATCAACATTTGATCAATTTATTGGTCAAAAATATAAAAAATTTAGGAGACATTCTAGTAAGTTTTTAATTTCAATCATGAATTGGTGTGCTAAAGAATAATTCTGCCAATTTTTATTATTTTTTCAGACTTATGAAACAATGATCGAGGAAAACACTGATGTTTTTTTAAATAAAAAAGCTGAAACTCTTAAAGCTAGAGCTAAAGATTTTGGAAAAATTCAAAATTATTTTACTTTAATGATTTTATGTGGGGGTAAAAATATAAAGACAGAAAAAGAGAAAGACTTGTTTATACAAAAAGTTGATAAATTTAGAAAAATTTTACTAGATATTTGTTAGTTGAATATTTTTTGTTAGTAAATTTTGATTTTTAGCGTAAGTTTATGAATAAGAAATAATACAAGTATGAAATAAAGTAGAGAGTTGTAACTTTTAATTAAAGATAAAGTTTATTATCACTGTTATAATTACATTTGTATTATATAACGTATTCTAAAAAAATTTTTAAGAATATACATCATTTTGAGATTATCAGTCTCTTTCAAAAAACTTTCTTAACTTTTTTTATGTGCATTTAAAGCATAAATCACCAATAGACTTTCTTTTCTAACCATTGACCAATGTAATTAGAAATTTGTTTTCTTGCTTGTGTCAATTGTGGAAGATCTTTCTTGGATGGTGGGTACATATTTGCACAATGTGCTGTTCCTATAATAGAAAAATATTTAAATTTAAATTGTTTGTTAGACTGAATTGTGATAAAATCAAAGTTGAAAATTTACCATTGATAAATATTGCAGGAGCTTCTGGATTGTTTGATTTTGTCACACCTAAAGCATGCCAAGGATCAATGCTTCCATGAACAAATACTACATTAGATATTACATTTGGTAAATCAAGAGCCCCATAGATTGTGTTGGTGCGCTCGACACCAATCTCAACTGTGTGTAAAAATCTATAAATTTAATTATTTATTATTATGAAATCTTACTATATTATGTATTATTACTAAACTATAAGAATTGTTTCATCTACCTTGGACCAAATATGTCTTGGCACATTGTAAGGTAAAAGTCAACAGGAAAAGTTTCACTGAATAAGTTAGGTCTAGCAGTTGAGGTTTGAAAGAATCCAAATTCAGTGCAAGTTTGATAGGTCCATTGACGTCCTACAACATTTAAAAATTATAAAATGAGACATTTTTGGAATCTTCAATAGTTTGTCTTATTAATTGTAATCATACCTCCAGGAGCTTCATTTCCAGGCCAAGTTACATTTCTCATCTCATCAATCATTTTGCTGTACTTGTAATCTAAGCATTCTTCTTTGTTCTTTTTTAATAGCATGTTGCTAACTTCTGCAAATCTATTAACTGGAACTCCTCTCTTTTCATCAACAAGAACATTACAAATATCATCAATAGTGTAAACACTGCTATTTCTATTATCTTTGTTGTATTGAACTACATCAGCAAATGTATCAGCAAGAGATTCATACAAATTAGCTATATCTTTTGTTGTAGTTTTTCCAGAATCGATTGGATCACAGAATCTAGAAATAAATTGCTTCAAAGTAATTTTGAAGATAATGAAAAATAAAGTATGAAAAGTATTTACTTGAAAAGTTTAGCTAAACTTTGTTGACCGATTCGGTGTCTCAACATAATATGTACTTGTTTCATTGCAGCTCCTATGGCATCAATGCATCCTTGAGAATGAGTTCTTAAAGATTCCTCAACAACTATGAAGTACTCTGCAGAAAATAATTATATTGGTTCAAATTGAATGAAAAATATACAAACATAAGCAAAAAATGTATTTACGTTGAAAATCTGCTTGGGCCAGTAAAGGTCCACTAGCAGACACAGCTCCATGCACTAGGTGAGGATATTTGTAACGCATCCAAGCTGCCAAAGAACCAGGGTAAGATCCACCAAAAACTATCCATTTAGAATTTTGTGTCATATTGTACATCTTAGGCATAGCTTCTATAAAGTAAGCTAAATCAGCAAGAGCTTGTTCAGAACTTAGATAAACCAGATTTTTTACACTCATATCTCTGTAAAATAATTAATATGTTAGAAATATTTATAGTTTCATTTCAATCATTAATATTTAGAATAGAATTGATTCTTACTGTGTTGGATGGCTTTTTCCATAATACCGATGTTCCAATTGGAAACACATAGCTCCATATTTTTTGGCATTATCTATCATTTCACCTTCTACAAGCCATTTGGCTTCAGCTGGACCCTCTCCTCCTATCAGAAGAAATATTGGACCACCTTCCTTATAATACTCTCCATTCATGAAGTATCTCTTGAGTTTGAAAGTTTATTATTAACAAAAAATACTAAATTATAGATATTGATAGCGGGCAGTCGTTTTATGATTTTTCTTACTTGTTTCCACATTCTACCATCCGTTGGATTGGAATGATCTAGATGCTGTTCAAACCATTGATCCTTAGGCAAATCATAGACTTTGGATAATTTAGGTGATCCAAGGCCATGATGCCTTGAAAATCTACGACGAGCTGCAGCATCGTAGATGAAGCACACCACCAACAATAATACAGCAAATCTCATGATAAAAGTAGTGCTGCAGTTGGAAAGAATTCTAAGCAACTGCCTCTTGTATTGAATTCAAATGACCTGTGAGTCAGAAACAGTCGATATAAGCAAACATGATGGTTTGTGGAAGTGTCATGAAAGTAAGATAATGCATAATCAGCAAATAGCATTGTTAATACGAGCTGGATAAACTGTTATCATTATCAAAATGTCTCACATTACATAAATGGAAATAAAATCTCGGATTGAACTAACGAATTATTAAGAAGTAAAATAATAAAACAAATCAAATCTAAGATGATATTTACAAAAAAAAGAATATTTTGACCGCGAGATATCATCGAAGAATAACTAATATATGCAATAATCATCTTTGTAAAATTTTACGTAAACAGTCGAAAGTATCGAAAAGTCCCTGTCATTTCGACAATTACGGTAAAATGGAATTCAAATCTTACGTAATTAATTGTTCATACTTTTCATCGAAATGTTTAGAAATTTATTCAAGACCGCGGTGACCCAAAAGTTTTTTAGTGTAAGGCCAACCAAGGGTCGTGGGTATACACAATTTCTCGTAGTAAAAGATAACTTATAAACGGAGTAATACTTCTTTTTGGGTAAAATAACTCATACTTTTGAACTTTTAAAAAAATTCTCAAAGATATTTCGTCATTTGAATTTATACCTTTTTGACAAACTAAAAATTGTTAAAAAGTCAAAAAATACTAATTTTTTGTCAACAATATAATTGTTTTTACGCAAAAATGTTCGTTTCCAAGATTAGTTTTGACATATTTACGAGTAAACACACTAATTTGAGCCAACGATTCAAAAACGTAAGTTACGAGTAGGCCTTTGTGTTTATATTTATCCTCGCATCGACCAAAAAAGGAGCTACCTACTAATGTCGGCTTTTATCCAAGTCAAATACGCTCACACTAAGTTAGTGGTTAAGGTAGAAAAAGTATTTGTTTTTGCTTTTTGAAATATCCATGATTTTTCAAAAAATCGTTACGGGATACGACAAAAATAAGTAAAATACGCACCTGCGGAAGTAAAGACGAATTATTATTCAAATATCCACTCGAGGCATTGCATTTTTGTCGGCGCAGTGCCGTCACGTTTGACACTGTGTAGTCGTACACGATCTTCGACGAATGCACGACGTATCGTTATAATTTGGGCGAAATTTATTGCGCGTCGATGCGACATTTTTCTTCGAGACGTGGGTACAAACAAATTAATTGCTTGTTTTTTATATCATATAGAAAATTTAATGCACGTTGGTCTCATTAAGTACTTCAAAATTTTCCTTATTCTCCATGAAAGTGAATTTAGGTTTTTTCGATTTAGGCACAAATGACCCATTGCCATTGGCTCGTTTGAATTCGTTCATTGTGAATATAAATTACAATAAAACTTGAATTTTTAATCGTTTACCGATAAACAATGCACTCGGTGCTGACGTCACGTAACCGAGGACTAACTCGAGCGTCATCGAACGGTTTAATATTACGAATACACCCTTGCGGCGTTGAAATGTTGGCAGGATTTTCAAACTAAGGCACTGTAAATTTTTTGATTGAAAACATCAAAGAGCTGCCAAACTGTTTCGGTAAAATTCATGTATATACATTTTATTATGTATATGTACAAAGAGTATGAACATCGGGTGGAATATACAAAAAGTCGATAAAAGTACTTGTACTTTTGCTTTACAAAAATTGCCGCGATATAATTTACAATTATATAAAAATCAAGCAGCAGCTTCTCGAGTAAATCTAATGAATATGTACACTTACGTTTCTTGAAATTATTTAAGATAAAATAGGGGATAATTTTTCAATCTTTTAAGATTTACTTCGTTTCATTATGTACACACAATTGCTGCTATCAGTAAATTCAAAATACTCCGATTAGCGTATGAAAATCGGATTTTTTTTTCATAAAAATTATCGCTGCTCTTCCATATCCATCAATCGGAATCCACTTCCATTCTCATATCGTTCCTCCACTCTTCCGGTCGATGACTTTCCTCCATCGGTACGTCGACTATTTTAACTACCACCGACCGATCGTCCTCTTCGTCTTCGTCGCTGATATATCCAGTTTCGTCGGATTCATCTTTTTTACAATTTTTCTTTTTGTCCTCGTGTTCTTTCATTATCACGTCGTGTTTTCTCACCGGTGACGCGTCGTACAGATCGTCACTCATATAATGGTCATTTTGTGCTTCACCGAACTGCAAAAAAAATTGAATTGTTTAAAAAAAAAAAAAGTAATAGTCAAAATCCTTGGTAGTTCGCGAAGGTAAAAGAAATAACTAACCCTGGGGCGATTTTTCCGATACTTCTGTTGTACATCCGAGACACCCTCGTCCTTCAAAAAAAATAAGCAATTACAATCGGTGCAAAAATGCGATGCAGTTTAATAATCGAATGGGTATATATTACCTCCGAACTGATACATCCTCTCTGTTTGCGCCCTTTGTCTCTATCGGACTTTTTTCTGAATCTTTTCTGTGATTGCGGCTTTAAAAACAAAATCAACCTCAATGCTTTTTAGCAAAACCTCGGCAAATATTTCGAATACTTACGATTATCGACGCTTCTTCGTTCGTGGAACCCGACGACAGTTTACTACTCGGCACGCTCATTATATCGAGTTTAATTCCCGCGTTAACGAACTTTGGCGCTCGAATTAACACCTCCGCGCGGCGGCAGATAGATGCTGTGCTGATTCCTGCCTGTACTGCGACGAGACGAGCGTCAAGTTTTATCGGGCGCGCCGCGGCCCGACGTAGCGGATATAATTTTATGTATTAAAAAGTTGCGAACTTTCTGCGCTCGCTCGCGGTGCGGTAAAATTTACATTCGGTTAAATACAAATTTTAGCTCTTGGGTAAACAGAGAGAGAGAGAGAGAGTGCCTCGAGTGTGTGACAGCACATGGATGAGAGGCTACCGAGCGACTGACTCTCGAGTTAGTTTCCAATATAAACAAAATTATAATAACTTTTCCCTTCTTTTGCGTATGAGGTATTTGAGAGCGCGACGTTTGGGAAAATTGTTGTAAATGAAATTTGTCGACCATCGGTAACATTTTGATGTAGTCGTTGGTTTTCAGTTTTGTTTTATAGCAAAAATAATTTGACCTAATTAATTCTACAACGAACAAGTCTAAAAAGTCGTGACAGATCGTTTATAAAATCGTAGTACTCATTTACATTTCGTTCAACCGATCATGAGTCGTGGGTTGCGTAGTATGCCAATCACGCTTTCTTTAAATAAATGTTTATAAGGATCTATTTACAGGGAGTTTTTGAAAGTACATTGTTTTAGGAGGCCAGAATAATTTCTCAAAAAAACTGATTCAAATATTTAAGAAAAATGTATAAACAGGCGAGTCGGTAATTTAATTTAACAACAGTGTAACAACAGTGTTTAATTTAGTAACAGTGTAATCAGAAACAATTTTAACGTTGTCCCTTGAACACTGTTTCAAATATTGTCTTTTTGACTAAGCAAGCCATAATACCGAAAGATAAACGTTACTCATTAAATTTCCGTGCCATTAAATACAAGGATCTAACGTTTATTTTAAACACAAAAAATGGACAAAAGTGAGAAGAAATGTGTAGAAGTTGCTTCGAATAATGATTTAATTGAACATGACATTGTTGTTTCGGACAACAAAAAATACGTTTGTAATGTTTGTCAGGAGGCATTTACATTAGAATCGAGCATGTTAACACATCGAGGCACAATACACAAAGAACAAATAGGTTACCCATGTAACCTGTGTGAGAAGAAATTTGTGAAAAGATCAATTTTGTTTGCGCACCAAGAATTCGTACACAAAGATCGCGAAAATTTCACATGCGACAAGTGCGAGAGAAAATTTGAAAATAAATCAACTTTGCTCGAGCACAAAAAAATATACCACGAGATTTTCAAAGATTATTTATGTGAAAAGTGCGCCAAGAATTTTGGAAATAAAAAGAGTTTGCTCTTGCACATTAAGACGATACACGACAAGTGTGAAAGAAAATTTGTACAAAAATCGGAATTGATGAGGCACCAAAAGACAATACACGAAGGTTGCAAAGATTACGCATGCGACGCGTGCGGAAAACAATTCAATGAAAAGTCAAAATTAATCAGGCACCAAAAAACAGTCCATGAGGGTCGCAAAGATTACGTATGCAACAAGTGTGAGAAGAAATTTGGACACAAATGGAATTTGCTCATACATCAAAAGGCAGTCCACGAAGGTCGGAAAGATTTCGCATGTGACAAGTGTGAAAAGAAGTTTACACAAAAAGCGAGTCTGATTCAACACCAAAAAACATTTCACGAAGGTCGCAAAGATTACGAATGCAACAATTGTGAGAAGAAATTTGGACGAAAATTAGATTTGTTCAAGCACCAAAAGACAATCCATGAAGGTCGCAGAGATTACGAATGCAACAATTGTGAGAAGAAATTTGGACGAAAATTAGATTTGTTCAAGCACCAAAAGACAATCCATGAAGGTCGCAGAGATTACGCATGTGACAAGTGTGAAAAGAAATTTGCACAAAAACCATATTTACTTTTGCATCAAAAAACGATACACGAAGGTCGTAAAGATTTCCCATGCGACAAGTGTGAAGAGAAATTTGCACGAAAGAGAAGTTTGCTCACCCATCAAAAGAGAATCCACGAGGGTCGCAAAGATTATGCATACGACAGATGTGATAAGAAATTTGGACAAAAATCGAGTTTGATCCATCACTAAAAGGCAATCCATGAAGGTTGTAAAGATCATGCTTGTAACCAGTGCGAGCAAATATTTGGACAAAAAATTCATTGACTTATCCACCAAAACGCAATTCATGAAGATCGCAAAGATTACGCATGTGATGAATGTGAAAAGAAGTTTGGATATCAAAGCAATTTGAAAAGACATAAAAAAATATTTCATGGCGGTTGTAAAGATTAAGCATGCAATAAGTGCGATAAGGTATTTGTACGATAAGGGAATTTGTTTCGGCACAAAAGTAGAATCCACGAAGAAGGTGACAAAGATTTCGCATGCGACGAGTGCGAGAATAAATCATATACTCTGTCAAATTTTGGTTGAGAGCCAAAAAAAAAAAATATTAAATAGCAACCTCACATTGTAATATCATGATCCTGAATTTATGAAACTGCTAAGAGAGACATGATTGTTAACAACAGTATGTTTCAATTAAAAAGCCAACATGGAATACTATTTGATAATTTTATTTAATTTAAAAAAGGATTTCTGCATTTTTTTAAAACTATTAAAAGATTTGATAATTGTTTTGATCTTTTTCTTAGTAGTACTTTTACCACTTTAAAATTTTATCTGAATATTCTTCGAATTTGATTTTTCGCGTTTCTAAAAACAGAAAAATAAAATTTGCCTGGGTGTGGGACCTTTACTAATTCACTACTGAGAACGTACCGCACTTGAAAAAGCGAAATTTTTGTCAATTCTTATAAATACAATTGGTTGACCATCGGTAAAAATTTGATGTATAGTCATTTATTTTCAGTAATGTTTTATATTTTTACACTTGCAATACTAATTATATTTTATACATGATAAATAATGATAATTGAACACCTGCATTTGGTCCCATCATTTGAATATTAAATTACAGTTTTTGTAGAAAACAATGAAGAGTCGCGATAGATCGTCCTTAATTTATAATTTCTTGCCAGCCAGTATCGTCTGTTAAAATTATTTCAAAAAAACACAAAAAAACCGTGGCGGAAACGATTAAAAAAAACAATTAATTTTATCACCCTGAAATTTCAACAAAATAATCTGCCAATATTACTGCTCAGAATGAACTAGAATTAGAGTTCCGAAGTCATTTGAGTAGACACCAAATGTCAGAACACAAAATCCGAAAAGATTTCGCTTGCGACCAGTGCGAGAAGAAATTTGTGAAAAAATCGAGCTTGTTTACACATTAAAGATTGGTACATAAATATTGCGAAGATCTCACATACATCAAGTGTGGGAGTAAATTTGAAAATAAATCAACTTTACTAAAACACAAAAGAATATTTCATGAAGTTTTCAAAAATTACTTGTGCGAAAAGTGCGCGAAGAGATTCGGAAATGAACGGAGTTTGCTCTTGCACATTAAGACGGTACACGACAAGTGTGAAAGAAAATTTGTACAAAAATCGAAATTAATCAGATACCAAACGACAATCCCGGAGATTCGCAAAGATTTCGCACGCGACGAGTGCGAGGAGAAGTTTAGAAACAAAATACAATTGCTCTTCCACCAGAAGACACAACACGGAGGTCAGAAAGAATTCAAAGACTTTGAAAATTACCTATAACAATTGCGGAAAGATATTTAAAAGTAATCAGTGTTTGCTCTTGCACTTAACTACATCCACGAGGGTCGTAGATATTTTGCATATGATAAATGTCATAAGAAATTTGGAGATCGAAGCAATCTGAGGAGACACAAAAATATGGTTCAGGAGGGTCGCAAAGATTATGAATGTGATAGGTGCGAGAGGAAATTTGGGCAAAAACTAGATTTGTTTCGGCACCATAATACAATTCATGAAGGTTGAAAAGATTACACCTGCGACATTAGTAAAAAAAATACACAAAAAAGGAGATTGATTATACACCAAAAGATAATACACGAAGGACTGAAAGATTATCCATGTGAATTTGAAATATAATGTTTTTCTAACATTTTATTAAAAATTGTGCCAGTATTATTTACCTTATTTTAGTTTATTAAATACAAATCTATAAAAATATTTTTGACGAAATCGTCTTCAAAATCTTAAAATGCATATTTTAAAAATTTCTTTAATCAAAATTGATCCATCAATAATTTTACTCACTGCTCCAAATGATTCTAGACAAAGAGGGTTCAATTTACCGGACGTAATGAAACGTGGTAAAAGTGTCCTAGTACTTGGCATCACTATCGAACGCTGAAATTTTGCCGGAGTTAAATACCATTTGCTGGAATAACTACAAAAAAGAAAGTCATAATTAACAACGAAAAACGATATAATCGATTGAAAAATTGCTGCTTTCTTACACGCTGAAATGAATTTCATTGCTGGCATCTATGATTAGTTGTCCGACCCAGAAATAATACCACAAGTGTATTAAAATGCCAATACCAAAAGTACCAAATCTTAATCCGTTCAATAATACTTCATTGAGGAACAATACCTTAGTAACATTTTGAACTTTTATAAATATTGGGAACTGAAAAATTATGACTTAAAAAATGAAAATATCTATCACATAAATGCAACAAAGAGAAAACATTATCAAACAAGAAAGTTGTGTAATGAAAATTGGAATGCTGTACGTAAACTCCAAGAATTTCACGCATCTAGAACAAATACGATTCTGTCTTACGACGGTTGAATTTTGAATATAATACATTACGTTAAATAAGCACGAAAATCATGTTTATAAATAAATGTTTTGTTGAATGGATTTGACGAATAAAATATTGTTATCAAATGTCTATTGCATACGATATAAATTTTGTATGGTATAAAAATCGTTAACTTATGCACTCATTGTATAATTTCATCGCATCGGACATTTCACACGTTGGCGAATCGTCAGTGGAAACTTGTCGTTCAAACCTATAACTAAAGCATCCATAATCAGACTATAACTTTTTCTCACAAATATTACAAAATAAAGCGAATTTTGCCATGCCAAACTATTGCGAATAAACCGCAAATTTCTTTGACCGTAGAAGTATAAACTGACTCTATGCCGACGTAGATGGGCAAAAAGACGACGACATCGACAAAGTACGAAAGGCATAAAATATAATGGTAATTTTCTTGTTTGAACCAAATAAATTCTCCTCGATTTGGTAAAAATATATTCCTTGGACCACTTTTTAATGGAAAGATGAGGTCCAGAAAAGGAGGTACGAAAGGTACCATATTATGCACCAAATTGGCAACGAACATAAGGACTTTTTCACATAAGTAACTATTATTATGTATCATAAGATCTATAACAGTTTGATTGCCAACCTATTTCTTACTTACTAGCATAAACTCGAGATAAGAAGTACCCATATCTTTCGAATTTTTTCACCAATTCTAGTTCAAAAGGATCTGTAAATTATTTCTTCACCTCGTCGATAGTCAACAACAGAGCCTTCACCTGAAAAAGAACCCTCACTTCATAAAATTTATTTTGAAAAATTGAATTCAAGTGTTTCCGAGTTATAAATACCCTGGAGAAATTAATCACAGCTGCAATATATTTCGCTAAAGTGATGAGACATAATATAAAACACATGCAAGTTTCGAAAAAAACCATTACTTCTTTGGGATGTAAGCTACAATAAAGAACCTGCGAATGAACCATTTAAAAATATTTCACATATATAAATCTACGAGTACATCTACGTATTATGATGTCATACCATAGGAGCCGTAAATTTGATTATAAAACAGGTTGCAATAACTAAGCTTATGTAGCGCTTTGATGTCTTTTGAGTTGGCTACAGACCTGTTACTTTGAGCCCTAGCTTGCCCCAACGTTCGTAGCGTTTTTCTAACTGCACCATTATTTTTTCTCTGGTCAAAAATCGGTGAATAAAAAATATAATTCAGATTAGTATTTTCAGCTAGCGACAGTGTTGATACATTTTTAAAGCATTCCCTTTCAAAAATTAAAAATACGTAACAGGTAGTCTATTTTACCTACAGTGGTATTAACCCATTAACACCCAAGGGACATGATTTTGACATTCAACTTTTAGCTCTTACTATGTAATGTCTTCGAAGATGTATTTTTCAATGGTGGCGTTTGAAATTACCTAAATTAACAATTTACAATTAAAAAATTGCAAATTGACCAAAATTAGATAAAAAAAGTTGACTTTTAAGTTTCATTATTTTTTATCTTATAAACTAATTGAGTTAAGAGGAAAAGTTTATGGAACAAAAAAGTCTTGGAAGTCTTCTAGTTATAGTGGTGAAAAATATTCGAACGATAAGGATCAACTTTTAACTCTCATAGACTCGTCACATCATGATACGCACTAATCAAAAAAGTATAAAAATTTGCCATAAAAAGTCAGAATCAATGGTTTTAAACTTTTAAACGTATAGATTTATACTTTGATAAAAGTATAAATGTGACATTTTATACGTTTCAAAAGTACAAACGTGACATTTTATATTTTTTCAAAAATTTAAAATACATATTTTATAAAAAATATAAAGTGATACTGTGCCCTTAATGTAAGAAAATGAGGCCCAAAAATAATCTGAAATTTTTTTAATTTTATAACGAAGGTTACAAATCAATTTCTACCTGTACTGCAGTTGTTATAAGCGCGTGTGGCATGCTGCTCGCTTCAGCGTGAATAGTCTATTGAATCTAGTTATTATAATTTTCTGCATTGTACTACATAATTACACATCGTTGGATGATAAATTCTCTAATTATACTACCTAAGTACTTAACATAAGAATTCACGTTTGTGGAACCATTTACAGCCCACAAAAATATGTATAGACTGGGCTAACTAAAACCTTGTTTGACGCACAATGAACACGTAGAAAAGGTTCGACTTTTTCAATGAGAATGTACTTATCATAATGGTATAGAAAATATTTTTTTTGCGAAAACTCTATTGTTCTATTCAACAATTCTATTTAAATGAGTCATTTCTTTTTCTATTTTTTCTTTTCAATTTTTTATCTCTGGACTTTTATTCCCAACTTCAAATAAATTACAGTTAACAATACAAAAATTAAAGTCAAAGACGTTTTTAAAAACATATAGTTCTGAGAAAACTAATTTATAAATAACCATACTTAGCATCAATCACTGCAATTTCATCGAAGTGGAACCATTAACCCTTTTCGGTTCAAAACGACCCAAACAACACGTCAATCGTCGAAGCTGTACAATTTACAGTTACAGTTTACAGTTCAAAGGGTTAATTGTAAAAACGGCAAAAGAACTTTTCTATTTATCTTGAACAAAATTATAATTGCAAATTTAAATTTTATCTTGTTTGACAAAATTATTCACTTTGTAATTTGGATGATAATGAATAAATTAAGAAGAGTTTAATTACATTTTATATATGTATAAGGATCTATTCAGAGAGTTTTTTGGAAGTGCCTAGTGCATTTAGTAGACCAAAAAAATTCCCTAAATGAAATCTTCAAAGTCAAATATTGTAAGAATAATGTATAAATAGATAAATTGGTTACATAATTGTTAATAATATGATTATGAACGATTTTGACATCGTCCTTCGATAGACTGATTATGTTTATTGTAAGGTAAAATTAGTGTGGAAATTTATCTATAATACTAGAAGAAAAATATTACTCATTCCGTTTGCGCTGCGCTAAATAAACTGATAAAAGTGATGAGAAATCCGAGCAAGTTGTTTCTAAAGATAACTCAAGTGAATGCGAAATTGTTGTTTCAAATGAAAAAAAAAACATGTTTGTGATACTTGTCAAGAAGCATTTACATTAATATCGAGCATGATAACATATTGAGACACAATTCACAATGAACCAAAAGATTACGCATGCAACAAGTGCGAAAAAAAGTTTTAGTTTCGAAGCCATTTGAGTAGACATCAAATAGTAGATTACAAAGTCCAGAAAGATTTTGATTGCGATCAGTGCAAGAAAAAATTTGTGAAAAAATCGAGTTTGATTACGCACCAAAAGTTAGTACATAAAGATCGCGAAAATTTCACATGCAACAAGTGCGAGAAAAAATTTGGAAACAACCCCACTTTACTTAGGCACAAAAAAAATATTCCACGAAGTTTTTAAAAATTATTTACGTAAAATTTGCATGAAAAGAATTGATAATAAACAAATTTTGCTCTTGCACATAAAGATAGTACATAACAAATGCCAGAAAAAAATTGAACCAAAATCGAAATTGATAAGACACCAAAGGACAATACGCAAAGGTCGCAACGATTACGCATGCAACAAGTGTGAGAAGAAATTTGGACAAATATGTCATTTGCTTTTCTACCAAAAGACAGTTCATGACAGTCGCAAAGATTTTGCATGCGACGATTGCGGAAAGAAATTTGGACCTAAACAGCATTTGTTCATCCATCAAAAATCAGTACATGAAGGTTGTAAAAATTACGCATGTGATGAGTGTGATAAGATATTTGAACCAAAAGGGCATTTGCTTCGACACAATAGTACAGTCCACAACAGTTGCAAAGATTTCGCATGCGATAAATGTGAGAAAAAATTTGAGCAAAAAGATATTTTGCTTACCCACCTATAAAAGACAGTTCATGAGGGGTCACAAAGATTGCCCATGTAACAATTGTGAGAAGAAATTTGGACTTAAACAGCATTTGTTTGTCCACCAAAGAACAGTACACGAGGGTCACAAAGATTTCGCATGCGACGAGTGCGAGAAGAAATTTAATCAAAAAAGCAATTTGGTTAAGCACAAAATAACAGTCCATGAAGGTAAAAAAAAAATCACGAATGTGAGAGCGAGAATAAATCATGCGTTCCGTTAATAACAACCTCACATTGTATTATCATAATATAATAGATAAGAGAAATGTAATTCACAGAAATTACCCATCCGAAAATTCTGGAAGATCCTAAAGATTGCGTGTATAATTAATACGTATTTATCTCATAATTGTACGTAAGAGAAGTTGCATTCAATTTCGCGTCAGATGACAATCAAGTTTCTATGAGTGATTTATCGTACATACGAATGGCTCGAAATCATTGTATGCTCTGAAAAGTTTCTCAGAGATTAGCATACACGTGTGTATCTCAATTTATCATCAGTTAAACAATGAAAAGCTCTGATTTTTTTGTTGACAATTGTAATTATTTATATAGATAATTATATATATAGATGTTTTTCTAAAATTCCAATAAAAACTGTACCAATATCATTGTTTCTTGCATGAATTTTGTACTATCAATAATTATTACATCATTTTATACTGTCGTGCTTTGGGCCAGCCAAAATTTTCTGTTGTAAAACGATATCAATTTAGGAAAAAAAATATGAACAGTCGTGATGGATCGCCCTTAGCATCGCACACTCATTCACATTTTTTAAATGATGGCACAAAAATAAGAAAAGGTTTTTGCTTAACATCTGCGGATATATACTTGACTATGAACTTCAAGTACATCGATGAATCATTTGCTCTCTTGGTGATTAGGCGTGAATTCTCCGGCATTTTAATGATTGTTTGCACAACTTGGCTAAAGAGAGGACGAGACGCTCGATGAAAATGACTATTGAATCAGTCGATCGAGGGCCACCGTAAAAATCTTATAATTGTTGTGGCTATTTCGAAGCTCTATTTCGCTTTCTCCAAGACCAAGACAGCTGCGGCGTGTAATAATGTCTCTCGTAACCACGAGAGGATTAAATCAAATTTTAACTATACATATCTTGAACTACATCGAATTATCGACACGGTTTTGAGATTCTATTCGGGAAGAGCAGTTAGCCCGATTCTCGATATAGATCGATCATTTTTATTTCCATTCCGGCAATGTCGGTATATAAAATTTATTTGGTTTATTAATTGTCATCAATCCATGTGTCTAACTTTGGACGTATTCGCGTCACGGCGTTTATTAATTTATTCAACTCAAGAGTGGATATAAATAGACTGCAGATATTCTCTGTTGATGTAATAGTATACGAAGATCGTGATTTTTCATTTCCGTTCTTCTCTTTGTTTGAAAAAAATCATAGGAAGCAAACAAAAGCGGGGGCAGTGTATAAGAAAACGTTTTATCCACTCATATAATGGCGTTTATAATTTTTGGCATTCAGACGCAAAATCAAAAGATATCCGGGGAGAGATCTCGGATTTTTAGTATGCATCCGGCGTACCGCGTATTATCGTATCTCTCTCTGGCGCTACGTAATTGAATCATGGCCCTATTGATAGAAGATCCCGCACGATCGTGTCGTTATATTCATCTTTTCGTATAATAAAATAATCATTTCTCGAATTTACTCGAAAAACAACCAACCGACATTTCGACTACAGTTGAAAAGTTTTTGCATTAGGTATGAGCAGTCCGTTCGTTCGCGCGTGCATATACACACATTGAGAAATAAAAAATCAAAAAGAAATCAAGAGGTAAAAAATCGTGCACGCCGAGTCCAGCGTCGTCGAGATTATTATCGCTTTCTTTCCGCAGCGCGTACACACACACACGTAAGTACAAATCCAAACGATTTATACGAAATGTATAACGAAAAAATAACGATCGTCCCTCTCTCTCTCTCTCCCTCTTTTCTCTCTCGGGGCAGCTGTCGCGCGTGCCGCGCTTTATTATACTGGCACATTACGCACGCACGCGCACATACATACGAGCACACAGCACACCAGGACCGGCATCGTCAATATAATCGATCGATCAAAAAAAGACCACAGAGCCGCCGCAGCAGCAGCAGCA